AATAAAGTTGAATTTTGGCACACGGCAATTATTTGGATGATATATCATGCCCAAAAAGTTTGGGGGGCAAATGTACAAAGATAAATAGCACTTGCTTCACAATGTGCCATTTAGGACAGAATAGGAAATGAATTTATTAAGCATGATGATAAATATGGCCAATGAAATATTTTGCCATATTTGAGGAAGATATGACCCAAACAATTTATGAGAATTATTTTGGGATTTTTGGATGGACAGAAATATAGGTTGCTTCACAACCAAGTGTAGATAAGATTATTCCTTTAATAGAAAAATGAATAGTTCCTAGAAAAGGGAATTAGGGTTTCGTCAAGCAGTGAAGTGACATGATCTTGGCATGGTTTTTAGGATGATGAGACACTTGGGAGGGGAAATGAAGATGATTTCTCAGGTGATAAGGCCACAGAACCACTCCACAAAAGAAAAACAGAGCAAAAACCAATAAATCAAATAGAAAAAGGAAAGGGCCAAAATCCCAGGCTGTTACACATGAGACATATGCTTGCATATTCGTCCATAGGTCAAATGGGATATGTAATTATTGGAATAATTGTTGGAGACTCAAATGATGGATATGCAAGCATGATAACTTATATGCTGTTCTATATCTCTATGAATCTAGGAACTTTTGCTTGTACTGTATTATTTGGTCTATGTACCGGAACTGATAACATTCGAGATTATGCAGGACTATACAAGAAAGATTCTTTTTTGGCTCTCTCTTTAGCCCTATGTATCTTATCCCTAGGAGGCCTTCCTCCACTAGCAGGTTTCTTCGGAAAACGGTATATATTCTGGTGTGGATGGCAAGCAGGCCTATATTTCTTGGTTTCAATAGGACTCCTTACGAGCATTCTTTCTATCTACTATTATCTAAAAATATTCAAGTTATTAATGACTGGATGAAACCAATAAATAACCCCTTATATGCAAAATTATAGAAGATCCCGTTTAAGATCAAACAATTCCAACGAATTGAGTATGACTCTATGTGTGATAGCATCTACTATACCAGGAATATCGATGAACCCCATTCTTGCAATTGCTCAGGATATCGTCTTTTAGCTGCTAGGTCTATTTCTTAGTTCGAGATCCCTCTTACTAACTAGAATAAAAGAATTAGTAGATCTGTTCTGCCCAAAATGGGAATCGGCGCTAGGGTTATGAACTTATAATCATGGAATCGACTCGATCATCAGAGTATAAGTTCATTCCATACCGAACCAGACCATGCACATTCTTATTATGAGAAGGGGTCATTCGAGCCTATGGAAATAGGATACTCTGTTTACATAGACATCCCTACGTCCTTACATTCTATTTAGGATTAGGAATAGGTGTAATCAGACCTGCTTTTGACATATCTATCCTATTCTTATTTGGGTACCATATGCACCTCTTTGGGCTTCTATTGAATCAGGAAATTGGATTGTACATCTTTCATCTTTTTGATTTTGATATGGATTTTGATACATATATGGTGTCCTACAAATAATACAAATCGAAGCTATTTGATGCCTGACTCAGGCCTATATGACCGATCGATCGAAATACTCCAAGACTCCACCTTTGTCATATATTCCATATATCACATTAGATAGATATCATATTCATGGAACACGATTCACTTTCAAGATGCCTTGATGGTGAAATGGTAGACATGCAAGACTCAAAATCTCGTTGTGAAGAGCATGGAGGTTCGAGTCCTCTTCAAGGCATAATATGGAGAATGCTCATTCAATGATTATTCCCCGTAGAAGTATTCCGGAAATCTAGGTCTGGTGCTCTCCTGTATCTGCTGCGGTCCTTAACCATCTCCCTGAGAAAAGTAGCCAGTAAAAGCCAAAATAGACTAAATATATATAGCCTGAACGATCCTAAAAATCCCTTGAAGTAGATAATAAAGAACCCAAAGCAGATGGTAGCCTACTACAAGAGTGGTCTTAAGAATCCAAAAGAGGTTGCTGAGAAGAGATAGATGTATCACAACCTCTATTGCTCTCGCATAAAGACTTTTTTTACGTGACAGGAAAAAGTGACTACGAATTCCCCTTTTTGTTTACGAATCCCTGTTTGTATCCTTTAAGCACACGCCCATTAAGTATCGATCAAATCAAGGAAATCAATCAAATGATCCACGTGCCAGCCCAAATCATGATCTTCACCAACCTGGATTTGGTTCTCTTGCGAAAATCGCGAGTTATAAAGATGAGAACCATGAAAAGCAAGATCCTGAATAAGAAAACGAAAACTAAGGAAGAGGAAAACACAAGAATGAAGACTAGTAGAGTCTCGTCTTTTGTCATTCTTTGCTCCTTTCTCACTCAATGATTCCTTTGAATTTGGCAACCAAAAATTCTATATGTCTATTCTATCTATGATATTTCTATATACATATAGAATATGACATCCAATTTGTCAAAGGGTTTGGATTGGTGACTCACCCATTCAGTGACTTTCACACTGGACGTTCCAAAAACGGGTACTGCCGGATAAGGTGAATTAGAGATTAGACAGAGGTCCGTTAGCATTTCATCCTTTCTTATCTTTTCAGGGCCTACCCGAAAGAGAATCCGATACCTCTTGGTCCAGAATATCATAATAGGACGAACGAACCGGCCTCCGCGGATATCTTTGCTTCAGAACAAAACCCTGCAATCAAATAGATGGTCCCAAGGGCACCATATTCTAGGAGGCCAAGTTATGCTATTGAAAATTCGTTCCTCTAGCAATTCCGGTTTGAGCATTTAGTTCCCTTTTTCAAACTCCACTTGTTTTCATATAGCAATCCCTAATCAAAGAGAGAACAATATCCATTTCAAAACATTTCTAGCAGATTCCTTAGTTCGGACCGACGAAGTAATGTCACTCGACTATTATCAACCTGACTGCAATCTTTTTCTGTCGGTAAGGATTGCACCAGAGCACCTTCTACTTCTAATAGGCCATGAACTATGGATAGAGAAGAATCATTTTGAGTGAGTACATAAGAAGCGATCCACTTTTTTTCATCAGTTCCAGGGGAAGACCAAAGATCTTGCGCGGCAGGTCCTCCAGAAAAACTCAAAAGATAAAGAAGTCTTGTTAATATCTTCATGCTCGTTCCAAGTTCGAAGTACCTTTTGGCCAAAGAAAAACCCGCTTCCTGACACGGTTGCCTCTTTATCTTTATATAGAGATAGATTCTATGGGGTTATTACTTAGTCTATTTTTTATAAGAGCCCCTCCCATCTGATAGAAAAGGGTCCCATGATCCTGAGCCTATCTTACCTTGGCTCGCAAACCCCAAGTTTGTCTATGAAGAGCTAATCTAATTGTATTTTTCTAGAATGGATTTCTTATCTGGAATACTAATGGATAGGGCTTCATTGCTAAGTGCTACAAAATGTAGTGCACTGGAACTCGTGGTTATGGACCCGAATCCTTTAATATGGAACATTGTCTTTTCCAAGTAAAAACCCCTAGTATATGAAAGAATGAAAAGGTGCTTTCGTTCTTGGGGAATAAGAAGCCCTTGTACCTTAATGAAAGGGAAATCGTAATTTTTCGTTAGGTATTTGACCAAATAGGATTGTCCAGTTCCTATAGAACCTATCACTAAAATACCCGATAGGGCTAGGCGGAACGAACAGGTTTTTCCATGAGATGGTAAATGGAAACGATTAGTCCCACACGAGGTTTGGGAATAAGTTATTGTCTGATAATGAGCAAGGAATATACATATTTCTTCTAAAGAGGATCTATTAAACTCATAATTCATTAGATCCTTGTTATCAATGCCAACTATCTATCATAAGTAAGTGGATCCTGGTCGTTCAATCCTTTGATAACCAAGGTCATTCTTTGCTAAAGAGAAATGATCACTATGAGTCAGACTCAATAGAATTGGATCCATTCCAAATAGCGAGAATTAGGATTCTTGATCCCTCTCAATCTCTCTTTCAATTCGAGGATCCAGAGAGGTGTTTTCATAGTGATCTCCGAATATTTTCCATCTCGGAATATTTTTGATTTCATTTTTCTATGATATGTCTTTCTATATGAAAATTGGTTATTTATGATGTACGATGATCCCTGTTAAGCATCCATGGCTGAATGGTTAAAGTGCCCAACTCATAATTGGTAAATTTGCGGGTTCAATTCCTACTAGATCCACACGAACAGGAACATTCCGTAAGTCTACTAGAACCGGCTCTCTATCCATGGAATCTCATCCATCATCCATACATAATGAATTGGTATGGTATATTCATACCATAACATAAGAACAATACGAACTAGAATTCTTATCGATATTGGAACTTAGAGCATAGGATGGAATCAAATACGCAGTATTTACAGAAAAACAGTCTTCTTTTATTGGGCAAGAGTCAATATACTTTTAATGTCGAATCGGGATTTAGTAAGATAGAAATAAAGCATTGGTTCGAACTCTTCTTTGGTGTTAAGGTGGTAGCTGTGAATGGCCATCGGCTACCTGGAAAAGGTAGAAGAATATGACCTATTCTGGGCCATACAATGCATTACAGACGTATGATCATTACCCTTCAACCGGGTTATTCTATTCTGCTTCTAGATAGATAAAAAACTAAAGGAGAATACTTAATAATATGGTGAAACATTTATACAAAACACCTATACCGAGGACACGCAAGGGAACCGTAGACAGGCAAGTGAAATCCAATCCACGAAATAATTTGATCCATCGATGGCACCGTTGTGGTAAAGGTCGCAATTCCAGAGGAATCATTACCCCAAGGCACAGAGGGGGAGGTCATAAGCGCCTATACCGTAAAATAGATTTTCGACGGAATCAAAAAGACATATCTGGTAGAATCATAACCTTAGAATACGACCCTAATTGAAATGCATACATTTGTCTCATACACTATGGGGATGGTGAGAACAGATATATTTTACGTCCCAGAGGGGCTATAATTGGAGATACTATTGTTTCTGGTACAAAAGTTCCTATATCAATGGGAAATGTTGTACCTTTGAGTGTGGTTTCAACTATTGATTTACGTAATTGGAAGTAACCAATTAGGTTTATGACGAAACCTAGAAATCGATCACTGATCCAATTTGACTACCTCTACGGGATAGACCTCAACGGAAAACTATTGAGTAACTACGCAAAGTGATTGAGTTTAGTAGTTCCTCATAGAAAATTATTGGCTCTAGATATATGGTATTGTTTGAAGCACGCACAGAACTGGAAGCGCCCCTTATTTCAAAGAGAGGAGGACAGGTTATTCACATTTAATTTGATGGTCAGAGGCAAATTGAAAGCTAAGCAGTGGTAATTAAGACCCCCGGGGGGAAATAGGGATGTCTCCTATGTTACCCATAATATGTGTAAGTATTGACATAATTTCATAGTCATTCGATCAGAATGCTACATGAAGAACATAAGCCAGATGATGGAACACAGAGACCTAGGATGTAGAAGATCATAACATGAGCGCTTTCCTATATATCCACTCATGTGGTACTTCATCATATGATTCATATAAGATCCATCTGTCTAGAGATCGTCATATACTTCTAGAAAGCTGTATGCTTTGAAAGAAGCTTGTACAGTTTGGGAAGGGGTTTTTTGAGAGAAAAGAAGAATCTACTTCAACTGTTATGCCCTTAGGCACGGCCATGCATAACATGGAAATCACACGTGGAAGGGGTGGGCAATTAGCTAGAGCAGCAGGTGCTGTAGCGAAACTCATTGCAAAAGAGGGTAAATCGGCCCCTTTAAGATTACCATCTGGGGAGGTCCGTTTAGTATCCCAAAACTACTTAGCAACAGTCGGACAAGTGGGTAATGTTGGGGTGAACCAAAAAAGTTTGGGTAGAGCCGGATCTAAGTGTTGGCTAGGTAAACGCCACGTAGTAAGAGGGGTAGTTATGAATCCTGTGGACCACCCCCATGGGGGCGGTGAAGGGAAAGCTCCCATTGGTAGAAAAAACCCACAACCCCTTGGGGTTATCCTACGCTTGGAAGAAGAACTAGGAAAGGAAAAAAATATAGCGATAGTTTTATTCTTCGTCGCCCTAAGTAAATATGTAACTAGGAATATGGAAAATTGCATTTTTGGAATTTGCAATTATGCGATGGGCGAACAACGGGAATTGAACCCGCGCAAGGTGGATTCACAATCCACTGCCTTGATCCACTTGGCTACATCTGCCCCTTATCCAGCTGAAGGATTTTTTTCTTTTTTCCATTATTCATTATTCTATTTATTCCAACCTTCGTACTTTGATCGAGATATTGGACATATAATGCCACTCCTTAAAAGGGAAAAGGAGTAATCGACTCTGACACGAAAAAACGAAACCTTTTGTAGCTCATCATTTATTGGCAAAGATAGAAAAGGTCAATATGAAGGAGGAGGAAGAAACAATAGTAACGTGGTCTCGAACATCTAGCATTCTACCCACAACGTTTGGCCATACAATCGCGATTCATAATGGAAAGGAACATATACCTATTTACATAACAAATCCTATGGTAGATCACAAATTGGGGGAATTCGTGCCTACTCGGCATTTCACGAGTTATGAAAATTCAAGAAAGGATACTAAATCTCGTTGTTAACTGAATTTTGAATAGAAAGATTAAGAAGAAAAGAAGATTCAAAATGAAGTAAAGGTAGGAGGGGAATAACCTTATTTATGACAAGTTTCAAACTAGTAAAGTATATCCCTAGGATAAAGAAGAAGAAAAGTGGGCTAAGGAAACTCGCAAGGAAAGTTCCAACCAATTGTCTACTTAAGTTCGAGAGAGTTTTCAAAGCATAAAAATGTATCCCTATGTCTGTTTTCAAAGCACAAAGAGTTATTGACGAGATTTGCTGGCGTTACTACGAGGAAACTATTATGATACTGAACCTCATGCCCTATCGAGCATCTTATCCCATCTTAAAGTTGGTTTATTCGGCAGCCGCAAATGCTACTCATTATAGGGATTTTGACAAAGCGAATTTATTTATTACTAAAGCCGAAGTCAGTAGGAGTACTATTATGAAGAAATTCAGACCTCGAGCTCGAGGACGTAGTTTCCCCATAAAAAAGCATGTGTCATATAACAATTGTACTAAATATAGTAAAGAAATCTAAATAACCTTTAGATCCATCTAAGATTTCGATTCCCAGTAAAAATATAGAATGGAAAAATATGGAACAAAAAATAAATCCACTCAGTTTTAGACTTGGTACAACCCAAAAACACCATTCCTTTTGGTTCGTGCAACCAAAAAATTATTCTGAAGGTCTACAGGAAGATAAAAAAATAAGGGATTGTATCAAGAACTATATACAAAAGAATAGGAAAAAGGGCTCGAATAGGAAAATAGAATCAGACTCAAGTTCCGAAGTAATTACACATAATAGAAAAATGGACTCAGGTTCAAGTTCCGAAGTAATTACACATATAGAAATCCAAAAAGAAATCGATATGATCCACATCATAATCCATATTGGATTCCCAAATTTATTACCGATAAAAGGAGAAATCAAAGAATTAGATAAAGATCTACAAAAGGAAATTAACTATGCAAACCAGAGATTTAATATTTCTATCGAAAAAGTTAAAGAACCTTATAGACAGCCTAACATTCTTGCAGAATATATAGCTTTCCAGTTAAAAATAGAGTTTCATTCCGAAAGGCAATGAAAAAAGCCATTGAATTAACTAAAAAAATAAGATATAAGGGGTGTAAAAGTAAAAATTGCGGGTCGTCTCGGAGGAAAAGAAATTGCACACGCCGACACCATTAAAAAGGGTATACTTCCCTTCCTAACAATTCGCACTAAAATTGATTATTGCTGCTATCCAATTCGGACTATCTATGGAGTATTAGGTGTAAAAATTTGGATATTCGTGGACGAAGAATAAGTAATCTTGTCTTCAAATTCTGTCCATTGATAGAATAAAAAATGACAAGAGACTTTTTTCCTGAAATCCCTGCAAAAGAAGATATTGCACCTCTTTCCATAAGATTTAATGAAAATTGATAAATCATTTAATATAATTGCTATGCTTAGTGTGTGACTCGTTATTTTTTTCTTTTTTTTACGAAAAAACTTAGTAATTACAGAAAATTAACTAATAACCAACCTATTGCTTCGTATTGTCGAGATCCTAACTAAGAAACAATCACTATATGAATAAATAGCTCTATCATAAATGAGTAGATGCGTCATATAGTTGTAGCAACTACAATTTTTTCTCTAAAAAAGAAAAGGGATTCTAGGTTGTGAAGCAAAACTAAGGGGATGTGGATAAAGGGAGGGATGATGGAAAGAAGGAAGTGGAAATAAATAAGATATATGATTCCACTACGTATGGTCTTTGAATTACATCATAAAAGAAATGTGATAAAGCATCAATATAATAAAAATAATAGAGAATTAAAAATTGTAACTTGAAATAAGAACTACAGATTTAAAGCAGTAATAAAGAGCCGCCCGGGTTAATAAAACTGAGAAAATTAACTCGGAAAGAATTTTTTTGGAAGCTCCATTGTGGGATTTAGACCTAACCATTCAAGGAGAAGCTGTGGGAACGATCGAACCCATGATCCAATAGGATTTTATTGAAAAGAATCCTAACACTTCATTGGGTGGGATGGCGGAACAAACCAAAAAAATTGTCTTATTTGGTAAGTTATAAATTAACAAATAAGACAGGAAAGAGTAAATATTCGCCCGCGAAATTCTTATTGAATTAGAATACTTTACCGCGATTCAATAAGAGTAAAAATAAGGATTTAAAGAAGGATTACAGTCTATAAATATAGAATTTAGATAAATATACACACACATCTGGATATATTCTAGATCTTCTTTTTTGACTATATATATTATATTATTCTGTTTTAACAAATTCAATATAAAAAACTGAACTTTTTCTATTATCTATTAATGTGTATCTATCCGCACCATAATATTTTGGAATATTATGAATTAGAGAAATTTACATGCTTTCTCATTCCATTTGCGAGGAGCTGGATGAGAAGAAACTCTCATGTCCAGTTTTGCAGTAGAGATGGAACTAAGAAAGAGAACCATCGACTATAACCCCAAAAGAACCATATTTCGCAAACAACATAGAGGAAGAATGAAAGGAAAATCCTGCTGAGGCAATCGTATTTGTTTTGGTAGATATGCTCTTCAAGCACTTGAACTCGCTTGGATCATAGCGAGACAGACAGAAGCAGGACGAAGAGCAATAACACGATATGCACGTCGTGGTGGAAAAATATGGGTACGTATATTTCCCGATAAACCGGTTACGCTAAGACCCACAGAAACACGTATGGGCTCGGGAAAGGGGTCCGCCGAATATTTGGTATCCATTGTTAAACCTGGTCGTATACTTTATGAATTGGGGGAGTATCTGAAACTGTAGCTAGAGCAGCTATCTCCATAGCTACCAGTAAAATGCCCATACGAAGTCAATTTATTCGATTAGAGATATAGAACCCTAAAAGGGGCATGGAAGATAAAAAATGCCTGGTTTTTCTTTCTGGAAAGACAATATTTCTTTCATCCTTTTGCATTGAAATAACAAATTGAAATCAAAATAATATGATTCAACCTTAGACCCTTTTAAATGTAGCAGATAATAGTGGATCTCGAAAATTGATGTGTATTTGAGTCATAGGAGCTGCTGGTAATCAGAAATATGCTCCTATTGGTGATGTTATTGTTGTTGTAATCAAAGGCGCATTGCCCCAAATGCCTCTAGAAAGATCCAAAGTAATTCGAGCTGTAATTGTACGTACATGTAAAGAGTTCAAATGCGAAGATGGTATAATAATCCGCTATGATGACAATGCTGCAGTTATAATGGATAAAAAAGGCAATCCAAAAGGAACTCAAGTTTTTGGCACGATTGCCGAGGAATTGAGAGAATTTAGTTTTACCAAAATAGTTTCATTAGCTCTTGGAGTATTATAAATACTAGTAGGCGAAATTGAGATCAAAGAATTAGTTTAGTAGATTGTGTTTTACGTATATGTTTTAAAATCCAAAATGAAAAAAAGAAAACATGTTTATTATAGAAAAATTAGGAGGAACCAAGAATTAGAGTCTTATGGTCAAGGACACTAATGCTGATTTACTAACCTCTATAAGAAATGCGGACATCAATAAAAAAGGAACAGTTCGAGTAGTATCTACAAATATTACCAAAAACATCGTTAAAATACTTCTATGAGAGGGTTTCAAGTTTGCGTCATCAAAAGAAAAAGACTAGAAAAGGAATACGTAGAACAAGAACCTTTTTAAAGCGTATCAGCCGACCCGGCTTACGAATGTATACCAACTATCAAGGAATTCCTAAAGTTTTGGGTGGAATGGGATTTGCTATTCTTTCTACTTCTCGAGGAATAATGAGAGATCGAGAAGCTCGACTAAACAGAATAGGGGGAGAAGTCATATTTTATATATGGTAAATGCCCCGCCTATGGTGCCCTAATTCTATCTCGCCCTTCCTATTTTTAAAATAAAAATAGAAACATAGGAGAAAAAATATGAGAAAAAAACAGGAGAGAAAAAAACCCGAGAGAAGCAAAAGTAACTTTTGAAGGTTTATTTATGGAAGCCGTACCCAATGGAATGTTCCGTGTTTGGCTTGAGAATGACACCATCATCCTAGGCTATATTTCAAGAAAGATACGGTCTAATTCTATACGAATACTGATGGGGGATAAGGTCAAAATTGAAGTAATTCATTATGATTCAAGCAAGGGGCGTATAATTTATAGACTTCCCCATAAGGATTCGTAGCGTATCGAAGACTCGAAGGATAGCGAAGATTTGAAGGATAGCGGAGATTTGAAGGATACCAAAGATTCAAAGGATTATGTTTTTCTTTTTTTTCTAGAGTAATAAATTCGAAGTTCTAAAATTCAAGAAAAGAAACTTATTTTTTCCAAAAGATTAGATTCATAGTGAAAAAAAGGAAATATGAAAATAAGAGATTTCATTAGTAAAATTTGTACAAAATGTCGACTGATTCGTAGGCGTGGACGAATTAGATTCATTTACTCTAATCCAAAGCATAAACAAAGACAGGGCTAATCTTTCAAAACAGAACTTTACTTTCTTCAAAGTTAAAAAAAAGTACCCCCGGAAATGATCCAATTCCAAATAAAATAATTTCGTTTTAAATAATTAAGGTAAAGGGTTTATTTTACCCTGAAATGGATATCTTTGTATCTTTTTCTTTTTTTATTTTAACTCATATTTATGAGATAATAAAGATGGCAAAAGCGATACCAAAAATTGGTTCATGTAAGAAAGTGCGTATTCGTTTATGTAGGAATGCACGTTTTAGTTTACGGAAGAGTGCACGTAGAATAACAAAAGGGGTTATTCATGTTCAAGCTAGTTTCAACAATACCATTATAACTGTTATAGACCTACAAGGTCGGGTGGTTTTTTGATCCTTGGCTGGTACTTGTGGATTCAAAAGCTCAAGAAAAGCATCACCCTATGCTGGACAAAGAACAGCAGTAGATGCTATTCGTACAGTAGGTTTGTAGCGAGGAGAAGTTATGGTAAAGGGCGCTGGTAGTGGAAGAGATGCCGCATTACGAACCATTGCTGAAAGTGGTGTGCGATTAAGTTGTATAAGCGATGTAACACCTATCCCGCATAATGGATGTCAACCGGCTAAAAAAGACGTATGTAAAAGAATTAACCCGCTTTCAACTTTCATTTCAAGATAAATAAATGATCCAATTATAAAATAATAATACTAGTCTATTATGGTTCAAGAGGAGGTAGGAGGATCCACTCAAACACTACAATGGAAGTGTGTTGAATCAAGAGTAGATAGTAAGCGCCTTTATTATGGTCATTTCATTCTGTCCCCACTTAGAAAAGGTCAAGCACACACTGTCGTTATTGCCTTGCGAAGAGCTTTACTTGGAGAAATAGAAGGAACATGTATCACACGTGCAAAATTTGGGAGCGTGCCAGACGAATATTCTACAATAGCAGGTGTTAAAGAATCCGTACAAGAAATTTTACTAAATTTGAAAGAAATTGTATTGAGAAGTAATCTCTATGGAGTTAGAGATGCATCCATTTGTGTCAAAGCTCCTAGATACATAACTGCTCAAGATATCATCTTACTACCTTCCATAGAAATCGTTAATACGGCACAACCTATAGCTAACTTGACAGAGCCCATTGATTTCTGTATTGATTTACGGATCAAGAGGGATCGTGGATATTAGACAGAACTCAGAAAGAATTATCAAGATAGAAGTTATCATATAGATGTTGTATCCATGTCTGTTCGAAATGTGAATTGTAGTATTTTTCTTGTGGGGAAATGAAAAACATGAGATAGTTTTTCTAGAAATATGGACTAATGGAAGTTTAACCCCTAAGGAAGCACTTTATGAGGCTTCTCGTAGTTTGTTGATTTATTTCTTCCTTTTGTACATGCGGAGGAAGAGGTCGCTAGTTTCGAAGAAAATAAAAACAGGTTTACTCCACCCCTTTTTACTTTTCAAAAAACATTAACTAATCTAAAGAAAAACAAAAAAGGAATTCCATTGAATTGTATTTTTATTGATCAATTAGAATTGACTTCTAGAATGTATAATTGTCTAAAAAGGGCCAACATACATACACTATTGGACCTTTTGAGTAAGA